GGGCTGTAGGTAGGCATGCAGCCACTGGGGTTGTAAGCCCATGTAGTTCTCTTAACTTAATGCTTGTAACCTCTTTAATTAAATCCAATGCAAATGCAAGTTATTTTCCTCTCTTCTGCTTTAATATTTCCAGTGCAAGCATTGTTAATTATTCAGAAAGGTTTAGGCAGTCAGCTTCCATTTCAAGAGCCCTGACATCTATTTCTGCACTGTAAGAAACAATGGGTCCTAAGTGAATTGGTGGTAGTGCCTCTAGTCAGTCAGCTGTGAAGATATTGTTACAGCTCTGTCCTGATTTGATGTTGCAAAGGTATTTCTGGCTGTCAGCATGCAGCACCCACTGACTTACAGGTAACACAATAGCACACCTCTCAACTTTCTCTCATCACAGGCATCAACCTCAGCCTTTTGTATGTGCCAGCATTTGAGGAACTGCCTCAAATGTTCTATGTGAAATGAGATGTAAGTCCCCAAACCCCACAAGACTTAAGTGTTGCTGACCTTATATTTCATCTGACTGAAGTGTTCAGCATCTTTCATCAGTCATTTTCATGTCATAACCTTAATTCCTGTACACATCTCACGCCAGTTTCCTCAATGTCACAATTTAATTAGCATTTTTAGGTCAGTGTTCTGATACATTGCACTTGTTTGACTTTGTACTTCTGTTTTAAGAACCTTTGTAATTAAATATAATATTTTGCCTAAACAAGCTTCTGATTTCCATACAAATTATTTCTAAGCAGAGAAACTAATATGGCAGTATTTAATTGTAAAAGTGAAGGTGTGAATGCAGTTTTTAAACATAGGAACTACTGCTTGATAATTGAACATACAAATAATGTATTTGATTTTTCCTGTGTTGCTTGAAAAATAAAATACATCCAGACTGTTTAAAGTTCCATCTGCTCAGTAAGCTGTATTATTTTAATAAATTAATTCCACCAGAAGACACTTGCAGGCATCTGGTTTTGATACTGGTAGCTGCTTGTAATTCACTGGCAGTATTTCTGAAATTTGTCTTTCATTCAAACTGATTATGGATGCTGCTTTTTGCAAATTTAGGACAAAATGATCCTCTAGAGTGACTTTTTATTCCCCGTCAGGTGCTGCTTCTTGTGGATTTATTGAAGTCCTCAGGAGGTTGCAGACCTCTCTTACATCAGTAAAAATTTCAAGTACAACTAAAATTTTGGTATAGTTTTATCTTCAAAGTAACCTGTAGTTTCTGTGGATTGTGACATCTGGTCAAAATCAAGATGCTGTGTAAATTAATTGCTATACATCCAGTTCTCTGCCATAGGGAGCTGTTTTGAAATTTCAGAACTTCTACTGCAGCTGTCATTGTACCTGTCCAAGAATGATTTGGTAAATTTGTTAAAGTTTTTCCTACAGTGTGCAAGTAGTTGTGCAAATACACTGAAAGATGAATTTACATCATGCTTTTTATGCAGTGCAGTTTCACTTTCTTGCAGTTATTTGGTTTTCATTAAAAAGGGCAACATAGAGATTATTCATTAAAGGGAGAAACACTACATTATTGTATTATGATTAAAGATGTATGAAAAATTGCTTCCTGGTGTTTTGAGTCATTAATGCTATATAAGAGAAGTCAAAGCAGGCACAGAGCTTTACTTCTGGGATGTTTCTGGTCTTGACCCCATTCTTTAACAAACATCAGAAGCAGGGTTTGAATTCATAAAAAATAGGGAAATTACTTGTCAGTTAAATAGTGACCCTTACTCAGATTACCTTATTCCCTGCAAATTGACATCATGTGTGCATAACATCTGTACACAGGTGGCTCAGTCTCAGTTGGGATGGAACTTGGAACTTTAGCTGTCTTGTGTCAAAATTGTTGGATCATACATTGCTCCTCTTGTAATAATACTTCAAAATCAACTGATCAAATAAGGTGGCATTTTTTTTTTGCTTCCACCCCTGAATTTATTGACTGTTATTGATGAAAGCACTATGACTGTTTACCTTAATAAGTAGCAGAGAAAATACTTTCTTTTGTCTGAATCCAAATCACCATTAATGTGGCATTGCTTTCTGGATCAGGTAAGCATAATCAAGCAAGAATGTTTAGACTGAAGGAAGAAAAGTTATTTGAGGTGAAGGCAGATGTACAGCTGTCGTCTTGTCTTAAAAGCAATATGGGAAATAACATCACATTACTATATGAAATAGATGGAAAACACTGGAGAAGGGAACTTGATTGATCTCTCATGTCTGAAGAAATGCACACAGAAACACAGTGGAGAAATTAAAAGTCCAGGCATACCAGAAAGTGGCAAAAAATAACACTGATCTTAACATACTGCCTAATATGACCTTTGGTTACTGACTTTGCTGCTGTGAAAAATTTGTGTGTATATGGATTTTGCCATGTGCCAAAAAGTTGGTTGAAGCATATGTCAGCTCTTAAATTTTGGAAAGCATTTCATGGGTTTTTTTCTCTTTGGCCTCCTCTGGGTTTATACGCTCTGTAAGAACTCTGCCTTGCTGAACTGTACTCATGAGAAATGTTGTAGGAAGGAGGTATTTTAAATACTTCTGAAAGTGGAACTAAACAGAACTTTGTGTGGCTAACGTTAAGCATGAAGTGGAAAGAAACTGGTTTTATGGGTGAGCCTGGTTGAGGGCCTGCCTAAATTATAGTTCCTTTCATGTAGGAATTCAGAGCTAAAAACAGAAAACAACTGTAAGGTAGCTGGAAATGGGAAACAAAGGAGGAAAAACTCTCCTGGCTAATAAGTTCAGTGGTCTGCAAGTTTGTCCACGGATGTCCCTTAGCTCTACGGCAATGTGGCAGGTACTTGTGCATCTTAACAGAGGCACTGAGAAGTGAAATGAGAAATACTGTGGAAAAACAGTAGTGCTTTAAATCTTGAAGTCATCTCCAAAATGTTGTCAAATCATTTTCTACCCAAATTTAACTATCTGTCTGAGCTCCATCTCTGCAAAGCTTAGCACAATTCACTGTTGCAGATCTGATTGATTCTTTACAACAAAAATTAAACTTGCAATTATGTATGTGTTTTAACAACTGCAAAAAATGATTGCATACATTCATAATTAGCAGAGGCCAGATTGCATCTTTTATTACTTTTGGTAAGGGAAACTGAAACTATGTAGGACTGATTTAAATTAGCTTTACTAGAAAATAGGTAAACTTTGCAAATGTAGCAGAGCTTGAGGACATGAGTTGATTCACTGAAATTTGTAAATAAATGGATTTCAAGGCCAAGTACATGTTGAATAGGCTAAGATTAGGCTGAAGTTTTGTAGTAAGACAATAATTAGATCTCTGTCGAGGCTTTAATCTTGCTCTATTTATGACATGAGAACTACATTTTTTTCAGCTTGTCTTTGTTCCTGCAAAAGTCTTTCTCTAATTCTACCACTAGTGACCACTTCCAGACAATGCTTTGGCTGCACAGTTTCCTTTGAGTTATGCAAGGCAAGAATTTAGACTGGAGAATAGCCTTTGCCAGCTGTTTGTCTCTGGGGATGAATACTGGCTCAACAACTAGTTGTGTACATATGTTTTTAGCAGTCACTAGAGAACTGTTCACCACTTGACTAGTCTTGTCTTTAAATGCCATATTATTAATAGCAAATATATTTTACATAAGGTACTATATAATCTTGGGCAATATAAAAAACAAAACATACAGCTAATGTACAGAAAAAAAAATAGAAAATATGCAGACAAGCAGGAAGTCACACAGACTGCCTATATTTCCAAAGATGTTCCTAAATGGGTCAAATCAAGTTCTTCCAGGTTCTGTGAGGTGGATGTGACTTAGAGCCACTGCCATTTAGTATTTCCTATTTAGTATTTCTTATTTCCTATTCAAAGACACCATTTTTTTTTTTTTTGGTTTGTTTTCCTTCTGTAAGAAACTACACATAAGATTTTAAACTCAAGATGAAAGTTCTCAGTAACAGAATGAGCCCAGTCTGCTCCTTCACTAGCTATAGATCATTTGCAGTTAAAACCTTTTCCTAAAGCCTAATGCAGCCTGATAGTAGTAGGGTGAAGTGATAATGAACCACAAAACTGAGCAGCCCATGCCAGCTGGAGTTACTTGGATACAGCTCATGTTTTTGTCTGAGGTATGTGATTCTCCAAATTGCATTATAAAGGAGTATCTCTGTCTTTCTTTTTATGTATGCTCCCCTGCATAGGCTTGCAACATGAAAGCAATATAAACAGACCTATCAGCAGGAACTCCTGAGTCACCTCACACCTCTTATCTAAAAAATGTAGGTGTTAAAAAAAAGTTTATGTAATGGTAAATGCAAATGTGTTATGTCACCTTCATAAAAACAATAAAATTGGTAGTTTGCCATTGTTACTCTTGAGTCCCATAAATCCTCACATGGCACAAAATGCCAAAGCATCTGAAAGAGTAGTTTTATATAAGGCAGCTTTCTTATCTAAAGCCCCTTTTCTAATCAAAACCTGTAATAATTGTACAATACAAAACTTTATAAAACCTCTTGAGACCTAGCCCAAACAAAATATAGGTGTTGTCTTTATTGAAGGCTGGTTGTATTTACTGCAACAAGAAACAATTAAGGAAAAGCCAATGACAGTCTGGACAATGGAATATATAAATTTGCCCTTGATTACTGAAGACTGAAAATAATTCTGCCATCTTCTGAACTTAAAGGAAATGTTCCTCCTTAATGCCTGTTCTTCTTCGCTTTCAGTAGGGCAGAATTTGTATCATGACTGGAGCAGTGCTGATTTACAAATATGATAGCAGGGGATTCCAGTCCTATGTAATCCTCAGTGTGATTTCAATACCTATTTTTCAGCTTTTGCTGAGTAGTAGTGAGCAGAATCAACTCAACACACTCATCTCCAGGCTTTTTGCAGCTTAACTATTTCTAGCTGCCTTCAGTAACCTACTTGCTACAAATGTGCATGTGGTGGGAGGGTGGCACAGCTCTATTTATTTCGCCCAAAAAGCACACTCAGGCAATTGGATTCAGTATTTTTTAATAAATTAACGTCATTCAAAATACAGTGCCAGAACATGATGCAGCTGAACATGCTAGTAAGGTTTGTCATGAAGCACCTGTGTTCATGTTAAGTTGGCGGCACCCCGCTACTGCTAGTGGTTCCTGGGATTAATGCCAGAGCAGCACTAGGCATCTGCTCTCCTGCACACACAGCACAGGATATTCCTGAAGTTTGCTTCCCCCCCAAAAGTAAAAAACCTGACAGCTAAGGGATATCTATACACAATCACACTACAGTAATGCTTGTTATTAAATTAACAGAAAATAAAGACCTGGTTAATCCACACTAAAACTTCGTTTTACAATGGAAAAATACATCAGCAGCAGGAAGTAATATACATGAGCCAATGTTACTGTAATACAGAATGTGGAGGCATTTACTGATTAAAGCCCCACATAGACCCGCACTATGAGGGCTGGCAATTCCTATTGCAAGCCCAGCAACTTAAGTCCACACCTGGTAATCTACCAGCTGCTTGGAAGACCTGTATTCTAAATAGACAGGTATAAGTTAGTGAAAATAGAATACATGCACCTCATCATACAGCTTGACTGAACCTGCAGTCATTTTGCCCAGCATGTTACCATACAATGGAAGATCTACCCTTCCTACCACAGGTGTAGATCCATGGGATTTGTTTCTTTTTCTTTTTTAATGGCATTACTATACCAACATAGATATTAGTATTTAGTAAGTGCAGCACAGTCCTTTAATTAGGCCACGCTGACAGTTATATAACTAGCACTTAAGTAGAATATCCAGAAGTAGTTAAAATGTAACTGGAAGATACTTTCAAAAGAGTTGTAATATCATCCTGGAAACAATAACTACTTTTTTTCTTAAGCTAATTTTCCTGAACTGAGACTTTATAGAACTAGAATTCTTTTAGACAAGTCAGATGCTCAAGCTCATGATATACATATATTTTTCTCAATTATCTGATAATAGTATTTGAGATTATGGAAGCATACCTGCTCATTTCACTAATTCATACTGAATGGCGGCAAGTGTTAGGTAGGGCATAAAAATACAACTCATGAAAGACAGCTCTGAGATTTCTGTCCCCAGACCTGTTCTTTCACAGCCATTTATTTCTTTTATTATAACGGAGCACAGACTCAGTTGTGCAGTCTAATCTGGGAGCTATACAGGTGGTAAAGTAACCATCTCCCCATCCAGCTCAAATTCATCAGCTCCATCTGGTGAGAAGAGATACGTTGGAGGTTTCCATGGGGACTCTTCAAGGCAAGATGGATACAGCTTTCCTACAGTGCACCGGAAGTCTTTCCCTAAGTCCCACAGCACGCGTTCCGATATGTGCTGTCTCAGGAACCAGCGGTCGAGTTCCAGGTCATACTGATAGGTGGCATACTTGGCTCTCTCGTTCATGTGGGTCTCTCGTATAAAGACACATAAGGAATTAGAGATGACAACAGCCCTGACGCATGGGTCGGAATAGCGCTTGGCAGGGATGTTGGCTGCCATCCTCCATTCGTTTTTATTCACGTCATAGATCTCCACTGTTACAGAAGACCCATCCACAGTACTGCTGGGGAGCCTTATCCCAGAATTGCTGGCAATATGCAGTCCTCCGATATAGAATATCTTATCACCAAAAGCAGCAGCTGAGGCGAAACATCTGCTTGTTTGTCGCATTGCCATCTCCACCCAGGCGTCCGAGCGGGGGAAGTAGCAGTACATCAAGTTGTGTGCCATGACGTAGATGCAGTTGTGAACCGCCACGGCAGTGCTCCACTGCCACGCGCAGGGCAGGGGGCTGACCATGGTCCACTCGTCCTTCTCGGTGTCGTACCTCTCCACGGTCCTCCTGTTGAGCTCCCCGCCGACGCTGTCCCCGCCGATTGCATAGATGTATCCTTCACAGCACACCAGGGACGGCTTGATGCGTGCAAAGAGCATCGGCGTCTTGGGGAACCAAGTGTTCTGCTGCGCATCAAACCAGTAAAAGCAATTCACAGTTCTGAAGACAGCCTGGAGTTTGCTGCTTTTACTGTGATTGGTTTTTGTGTTCTTGAGAGGAACTTGCCCACCTGCTATATAGATGTCGTTATCAGGGGTTACCAGTGTCCCAACCTTATGCAAGTCAACAGGAGGGTTGCAGAGTTTGTAAACTTTCTCTGCCTGTGGGCTGTAACAGACAGAAGAGTAAAGACTACCAGGGTTTTCAGCAGCAGCTTCAATGAATATCATCATCTCCTCTTTTGTCATGCCAAGTCTGGGCTTGAAAAATTTGGGCATCGATTTGTACAGACCTTGCACCACCACTGATTTATCATTAGGTGGCAAGCCTTGAAACCAGGCTCTCTGTGTTACTTCTGAAAGTGCATCGATCCGGATTTGGCTAAGAACAGAGGACAAATACTGCGAACGTGATTCCGTGTTGTACTCCAGCCATAACATAGCAGCCTCACGCACTGTCTCCTCCTTTTCCACATTTAAATTGTCACTGCTTAAAATATCTATCAGTAGATCATGTGACAGTTGCATGAAAGCCTCCTGGTGGTACACAGCTGTGAACTTGTGCTCCACCATTCTTTTAGCACTCTGTTTTAACTCTTCACAGCTGAAGAGATCAGCAAAACTTAATAGACGCACACAATTTTCTGCATTAATTTTTTTGATTAAGTATTCTCTACATCGTTGTAACACATCATCTACCTGTAATGCAAAGAAACACAAAGTATTACACATATAGTCTATGCTTTCATGTAGCACCAGCACATAGAGTACCTGCATCTGGTGTTGAACAACACAGTTCAGGCATGAAATACTATACATACAAAAAATACAGCAGTGACTCACTCACCTGCTTCATACAGACCAAGTATGCAATATGATTATGTCTGCTGGCAAAACAAATTTTCTAAATGTTAAAAGTGCACTAGTTTACTTCCAACCTTCCAAAGGGACTGTCATGCGAGGAGGGATGGCTACATGAAGCAAATTTGGCAAGCAACTGCTGTCTATACAGAGTGAACAGAGCAAAAGTGTTTTGAAATGAATAAAGAGGAAAGATCTTTTAACAAGAATAAAGTGGTTCAGAGATTCCTACCTGTAAGAAGCAGGCAGTTTCATAGAGCTGCTCTACTGTGCTCTCACTTATTGCCAGGTTACCCGTGTATGCATAAGTGATGATGATCTGCAGAGTGGCTGCATCCACATTCCTCAGGTGTACGTGTGTCTGTTTGCTCTCGCTCAGCCCACTCATGAACATTGCTCTGAGGAGAAACACACATATTAAGACAAGGATCAGCAGTGAGTAATCTTAAACAGTCACCTGTAAGCCTTTGGTGATTTACACTCCTAAAGGTGAACAGTCCTTTTGCAGGCCTGTTCACAGGTATTCAGGATTTACCTTAGGCTGACATCTACTATTCACAATAAAACATTTGGACAGAACATTAGAAGAGTAACATCAGTGCCTTCTGCAGAAATATTTTATATTCTTGCAAACCCTTCTGGGTTAATTAACAGATAGCGCTGATTTTGAATTTTTAATGACACAATTTAAATATTTTCTATGATAGCTGGTAAGAGGGAAGAAACATCCTCCAGAAAACACTGCTGAAACATACACAGCTAGATTTTAAATCCTAAAACAAAAGAAGCAAATTTATGCAATGACTGAGCTAAGTCATATCAAAAAGGATGCTCCTCTGGGAGGAGAAGAAATGGAGCAGAGACTAGCACTCTATGAATTATTTCTTATATACCATTCATCATAACATACAGTAAACTTCAAATTTGCAAGCAAAAATCAGTAACAGAAAAACTTATCAGATCTAATATAGGAAAAAACGAATGAGTATTTCTATTATATCTTCCTGAAGAAAACTAGAAAGGCAATTTAAAACATGATTATTGTTTCCTCAATGCTTTACACACCTCCTGCTCATCCTGGTATTTAATTGCAACACAGTTAAGAACTAACTACAATCTGGTACTATAAGCCATGTATTTGTCAATTTTCTTAAAATGGGACATTGGTTTCAAGAGCTTTATATTGATTCAAGTTTGATATTTATGGTTGTGCTAAAAATTCACTTCAAGGCTCTTTATATTTATTTTGGTTTTTTTGGTTGGGTTTTTTTTTTTCTTTTTTCTTTTAGGAAACCAGGCATGAGAGAAGTTAGAAGGGGCAGTGAGTGCACCTTTTAGTCCCACTTCTGGCTGCAGAGGTGAAGCAGACATGAGGATATATACTCCCTACGCAAAGCCATTCCAGAAAGCATCTGATACAAAGACAGTATCCCATCTCTATTTCTCTGTCTTCTTCTAAGCTCCTTAATTCAGGGCAACTTGCATTTTAGGAGGGATCACTGACTAAATAAGTATCAACTTGCTGTGCAGCTATTTAAAGATAAGCAAGAAAGTACAAGAGGGTACAGAGACTCCTCAGAAAGGAAGAGGGAGCTGTTGGAGGCTCTGGCTGTTGCTCACACACTGCTGAGCAGCCTGTGCTGGAGCAGGGCTGCACATCGTTCAGACACAAAGATGGAAGGTAAGCTGGCTGCAATCACACACAATGGCTGGATCACACAGAAAGATGCTTTGCTTTTCTTCCCCCTCCTTCAGGGCTATCAATTTTTCATAATAAAGCTAAATTTAGGAAGCTGAGCATCTTTTTGTAAACCAAAGTAGAGAAGAAAAACAGAACATGACAAAACCACAAGTTTAATACTTCTTTTAACCAGTGCCAAAACCTCATTCCATAAATAATAAACAAACACATATGAATAAGAGATTTGACTGCACATTCTGATGCAGCACACTGGGTGGACTCATGACAGCTTTCCAACCTTATGATTAACCACCCACATTAAATCTGGCTACATTTTCAGTGGCTGTTATTTTACAAATTGTTGGAACTATGTCATCTGCACAGGGCCAATGGTAATAATTATTATCTAGTGATCACACAGTACTTGTTGCTAAAAATTGGACCAGATTCATCTGAGATGAAAAAATAAACAGAAAAGCCAGCAGGGACAAAAATTTCTGTAAAGGTAATAAATGAATCCTTCCACAGTTTTCTTCAAGAAAGGAGACAAAGTACAGAAAACATCGTAGATGTGTTCGGTATAGTGAGCCGGTCTCAGGAAAAGCACATTTGTAAACTTTCCAGCGTTTAAACAGCAAAGGAAAGTTATAATCCCTCCACAGGAAGGTAGAACATGTGTGGATGTCACCCAGACTAGTTTCAAGCTTGAAAATTCCTTCCAGACAGCCAGATTAATTATACTATGTTGCCAACAAAAATGATTAATCACTGCAGAAAACTCATGGTGCCTCATCATCCAGGTCTTACTATGAAGGCATTTGCAAAAAGTGGTAGCACTCAATGTATCTTATTAAAAATGTTTTAAAAGACCAAAAACAGGATACTTGAAAAACAAGAACTACTGAACTAAAAATTTCAATAGTATCTTGGGGGGGACCATGAAATAAAAAAAAGAACCCAAACCACACACAGAAAAACTCCGCTTGCATTGCCACAACACTCAAGCAAGTTTCCAGCTTTTCTGAGCAGGGAAAACCAGATGATTCAGAAAAAAAAGCCATGAACTTGCACAGCAATCCCTACTTTTAGCAGATGCTTCTACTAAGAAATTGCAGTTAAACATGACAATGGAATTCCTGCAGCCCAGTCTCAATAATCCCTTGTTATCCTACCTTGGGAAATAAAAACAGATTAAGTATTTTAAAGATTCAGTATGAAGAATAAGAAATTTACTAATTATTCAGACTCATTTAACTCCCTAAAGAAAATAAGCCATGTCGCAAGTGTGATTTTCTCCCAACACTCATTGTAGAAACTAGAGTAAATATCTAGAATAAGTCCCAGGAAGCCAAAAATGTTATTTTACTCTGTGTTGGAAAGTAAGGATATTTAGGTTTTGTACTTAAGTTACTGATCTTTAAATCTCCGTAAGACATTTTCAATCAATTACTATTACACTCAAAACCAGGTACCACAGGTTTTATAGCATTTGAATACTTACCTGAAATATGAGCTGCATGTTGCAAGAACCATCTTATGGCAGGGAAATTCAGTGCCCTCAACAATCAACACTATGTCAGTTAACAACTGCTGTTCATAAAAGAATTTTAACTGCTCCAGCAAGGATACAGCATACTCTGTATTTATCTGCCTCTCGTCCTGGGTAGACATGACTGTATTCCATTAATATTTCCAGGACCAGAGAGAAAAGTCAAGATCTCTTCACCAAAGAAAGGTCAGTTGAGTGTTTCTGAAGTAGCCAGGAAAGAAATGGCAGGAGGTCTGTAGCCTTCAGAAGTGATACTGATAAAAAGGGGAGTGTTATCTTGAACTGCTGAATCAATGCTTCAGACTTTGACCTCCTATTAGGTCATCACGCTTTGACTTGATGTCCCAATCTGTTCAGAGACTTTCAAGAGTGTCTGCAGAGCTCCCGTTGAGATCTATGATGCAGCAACTGAATGAACAAAAGTGAAGTCTGAGGTAGATTTTGTGGTAACATCTCGTGATCAGTGGCTGCACTTGACTGACTGAAAGCAGGAAAATAAAATTAATTTACACATTAGCACAGTTTGGAAAACCATTCATAGTTACCTCTTAGAAGTAATTGTCTAACAAACATTTCTAAATTAATACTTCATTACTTGCAATAAAACCCTTCTAAGAAAAGAATTTAAACAACAAAAGTATCTAAGAGAAATGAAAAGCAGAGGAGTTTGTACATTAATTCTCATATGACCTAGACGCACAAATTAAAATTCTTTATTTTGTCAACAAAGCTCCTAAGGCTAGGGAGTTAAAACAAGGTTCAGTAAGACTTCATTCCTCCTCAAAGAATTATCCAGATTTCCCACTGAGTACACCTGTGAATTTCATTCAACCATTGATAAGACAGCCATTTTTCCCCCATTTCTACATTAAACAGCAAGTTTTTTTGCTTCTTTGTTTTTGTCTATTGAAAGCTTACCAATACCAGGCCACTAAAAATATAAATGGAGTAATTTTAACATTCCATCACCTTCCGTCTAAATTCTAACATCATTATCAGCCTATTTATTTCACCTTTGGCATTCTACTAGAGATGAAGCAGAACTAGCACTAAGGATTAAAAAAAAACCCAAAACCAAAAACACCAACAAAAAAACAACCAAAAACCCCTAAAAGTCTGTATTTCCAGTGCATATTAAATTCATCTGCTCCATGCAGAAGGGCTTCACCTATTAATATTTCACATTCCCTTGTTTTTCCTTATGAGTAATTTCCATACAGCCAGGTAAGCTTGACTTCTGCCGACAGGAGAAAAGAAAAACAAGGAAATAACAGGAGCCAAAGGATACTAGAATAGCAAGGCTCAAAACACCTACAGTGGCTGCCAAGGTCTATTATCTTGTTTGGACATTTCTCCCCTTAAAAATGGGGTCAGGTTTTATTTCATCTTCCCCTTGAACACAAAAGCCTAATTAAGAATGGGATAGTTGTGACAGTAAAATTACCATCATAATGGGCACCAGAGTACCACAGCTATCAAATGCTCCTAGATTTATTTAATTTTGCAATGTTCTTCTGCATTCCAAAACTGAGGAATAACCAGGACATGTTTGTCTTGTGTCTAAGATATCGCTATCATTACAGTTCATGATGAACAGAGAGAATGCAGAAACAACTTGCCAGAAATTACATTCCTTAAATTCCACATAAAACATAAAAACATAAGATTTAGTGTTAAGACCAAGACAGTAGAAATACCTGCAAGCCACATCGATGATCTACTATTTCAACATAGTCCTGCCTGTAATACAATTCACAAACAGCTGTCTTTCAACATTCACTCACTTGAAACAGATATGGTTAATTAATGCCACTTTAATTACTACTAATTTAGTGTCCCTGATCTTATTTTTCAGTGATAAATATACACAAACAGGAATGTCAAAGTCTTCATTTTCCCTGGTTGTTTAACTGGAAAACAGTCCAACTAGTCAAACTCAATGCTCACTGGTGAAAGCCGTTAATCAAGGAAGACAGAAAAGGCTTTGATACTTGGTGGAAGGAGTAGATACTACTGTGTGCTACAATAATAGATACTAGCACAAGTCTTGACTGAAGACATTCAAGTTTCAGGTAACCTCTGAAGTCACTAAACCATAAATATATCGAGGATATAGAGATACTGCTCCTCTAAAGCATGACCTTCTGCCTCAGGTCACAGTTTCTTTCCACCAAGACAGTGTGCATCTCGTCTCTGCATTACTGCCCACCTTCCTGGTACTCTGGGAACAACTCACCATGCAACCCAATCCATTGACAGATTTTGCACTGAACTTTAAACAGCTACAGAGACACACACAGACTCCCTACGTGTGTTAGACCCACAGAAATAAATAGCTTGTGGCTCTGCTGGTATCCTGAGTCTCTACAGCATTGTTTTTCCTGGCTTAGGAGTAAAGTTTCAAGAACAATAAAAGCCGGTGGATTAAACTCTGTTTGGGCAGAGCATCAGTAGCACAAAGCTTTACAAAAGAACTCATTGATACCATAACTTCCTTTTCTGATGTAATTACAATGAATATTTCTTCAGAAACAGGAAAAAAAAGAAGAAAATTAATATGTACTGGTTCAGTCATTAGGTACCAGAACAAGTCAAGGATGCCATGGAGAAATTGATATACACCTGCTAGTAAGATAAAAGACATTTTTGGCAGAAAGCTGCTGACAGTGAATAACTGAAAAGCAGACCTGTTCAGCAGAAGACAAGTTGAAACTGTGAAATTAATTACTATAAATAACTGGAACATTTGAGTACGACCCTCAGCAGCAGAAAAGATGGAGGAGATGACAGGAATCCTGTTGCAGAACGTTTATGTGATGTGGATCACCTCTGAACCATACATTTAAAAAGCTGGAGCCTTTGGTTTACAGAAAACCATCTGTCATGTACTCCAGGGAAGTGCGCATGGTAGGAACATGCTACGTACACGATTCCCGTTTTCCACATCCATACTGTGTTTTGCTGCCAACAATAACCATTTGCTAAAGAAAAAGTTTTGTATTTGTCAGAAAGTCAGGACTCACATCCCATTCCCTTGCAATGGAAATAAATACATCAAGGATCTCTGAATTACTGGTCCAAAATTGCCATAATTTATATTGTGATTTGCCCAAGAGAACTAAATCTGTTCAAAACATTAGGATAAGTGGTAATAACATCATTTAGTGCCTGGAAAATCATCAAAGATAACCTACCTCTTTCACACCTCTTTGGAGAGTTCAAGACAATTTTAAAGGAAATACTCCCCTCACTTTGAGGCCGAAAAACAGAGGCATTGAAATAAAAAGCAGCTTCTCCAAAGCCATGTACTTCCAAAGGAGATAAGCAAGAGGCTTAGCTCGTCACAACGCAACATCTCTCTCATTGCACTGTGCCTGGCTGGCATACAGTCATTGGATCTGAGACAAATGAAAAACTGTGGACTTGAGAAAACGTCTACAGATGCACTGCTGTCTGCTGGAATCCCAACAACCGTGCAGCAGTGGACATTTCTCATTTATGGATTAAAAGATCTATGTCTAAAGTTAGCTTAATATCCTGAACTGAAATTCTGACAGAATAAAAATAATCTCTGAATACAAGTTCTAGGAATGAGACTTTCCCTTTTAACGATGTCCCTGGAGTGACCATTTTGTTCTGGGTTTCTTGGAAACCAGCTATCCAAAACAGGACTGGCAGGTAGCTGCTGGAAGGCCACAGAGTGCTACATTGCAAATGAGACCATGTAATCACCAGGTGGTATAAGTACCTCCCTATGAAGCTGGAGATCAACATTAAGTAGCACCTTGATAAGACAGTTTAAGTACTACTCCTTTTTGCTTAAGTAATTTTAATGAGGTGGCTTGTTAACACTTGTTCACGTACTTCAAATCTGAATGAGACCATTCAGAAAATTAGTCATCAAATGTTAATGAGTTATGGGATAGGCTATTAATTGCCTTCCTTGAATCTGTATATTTTCTGAGGTCAGGCAAAGATTGATAGAGATACATACTAGACTACATACATGGCGGTGGCACTATAATTCAGTGTGTAACATAGAATAGATATATTGACTATTTTCAATTTGGTAGGGAAACATATAAGATACATAGATATAATAGTCTTCAACTGGACTTATTAAAAAAATTAATTTCTTTTCCACCCAAATTATAAGAACAGCAAAAGATATATAGGCATCCTTTGTTTGGGTTTTTTTTTTAGAGATTCTGATTCCTTCTGAAAATTCCATTAATTAGTCTGTCAGATTAGATGCCTAACTTCCCATAAAATGGTGGGAAACACGTAAAAGATCTATGAAAGTGTCACAGGTTCCCATCTGCATCTTCAGCCATCGAATACCTCTTGAATTCTAACTTCAGTAACTCCAATTCACACTTTAAAAAACACACGTCATTTTCCATGTGTCTGGAAGAAAATTTTTAAAAAACCCAACAACCAAAACTTATCTCCCTGGACATTCAATTTATTTAATCTAGTTTTAACTAATTTAAAAAAACAAACAAACCAAAACCAAACTTTAAATACTACTTTTGTGCACTTTTAATCAAAATCCAATTTCCATCCAAGGGCAGCTTCATACAAATCACAAGTAAAAACACATCTAAAGAAGTGAGTCATTCACTATTTTAAACATAATAAAAGGTCAGAATTTAGACCTGAACAACTGTAAGCCAAACTACACAAGCCTTGGTGTGTGGAGATAGCAATCCTCCCAGCTAGCAACACACTGCCCAGCTCAGACACTTCAACACTTGGTTACTATGAGGGATATTCTGAGTTACAAACCAACCAGTTTCAAACTTAACATACCAGCTAACAGCAAGGGGGAATGTGAGTAGTAAAACTGATTAGAATCAATTATGCAAATCAACACACCTAGCCAATAGATCTCAAAGATAGAAAAGAAAAAAGAAAAAAGGAGTTGGAAGCTCTAGATCCTTGAGTAATGTATCAAATTTACATCCTTGGCAGCAAGAAAGAAATAGGTAATTGATGAAGCAGTTCCAGACTTGGAAGTTTTCCTCTCTTCTAAAGCCATCAAAGGTGTCTTTGACAGCACAGTAGTCCAGAAAATTGAGGACATCAAGGAGATTCTAATAAGGCAACAATGTGAAATTTTACTAAAAACAAGGAAAGGTTTACTCCCACAAGGTTATCTTCAAAATGACTACTCACTTGAAAACTACTACTATTTTCCATATATATCGTGCTTGGGAGGCGAGTTACAACTTTGAAGTAGGTGAGTTTTCTGAAGCTACACAGAAACTAGAGACTAGAAGTGTCAGACTCCATGTTAAAAACATGCTTGGTCACAATGCACTCCTGTTTTTCTGCTCCTAAAGGAAGTTACACACTAAAGGAAACACCTGCTTAGAAAGAAAATTAGCATTTATGACATGATAAACCAACAGCTTAAATTGGCAACTGGACTTCTACACTGGGCACAGGTAGTTTCCATCCCCAAGGGTGTTTCTGTTTTGTGGAAGACTTGAACTGTTTTGGAAAATTAAACTGAAAAAAAGTGGGCCACTGATGTCTCAGTAATATCCAGTCATGTATCCTATATATACAATTTTCTTTTTCTCTGAACTATAGTACATTAATGAAGCTAGTCTGTTTTATGTAACAACTTAAATTCCAGTTTAAAAGTATGTGCCATTTTTTTATTCACTACATGATACTTAACTATAAATTTATGCATTTCTACATGAAGAAATTAATTAGTCATTAATGTAGCTTAATTAATTGTAAGTTAGTTCCTGAAAGGTTAAGTCTTATAATGGATATCATACTCATGCATATAAAATTTATTCTCAAAGCACAACAGTCCAAGAAAACTAAACCAAGAAAAAGAAATTTTAGCATTTGCACCAATTCTGGTCTGTTTCATAATCACATGACCAAAACAAAAAAGCCTGCTTCAACAAAGGAAAAAACAACAACAACCATCTGTCTAAAATGTAGTCAAAAATATTAAATAAGCAGCAACATCCTTTCTTCCTCTTTGGACTGTTCCTGAAAGACACTACTTACACATCTTTGAGTATAAAGGACCTCTCTATTTGACACACAAAAACAATTTGGAAAAAGGTGTGACACCTATACTCAAATTGTAAGACTACGTGATGTATATATTTAGTAGATATACCTGATGTAGACATTTAGTATTTAATGTAATTAAATTAAACACTAAAAAATAACTATTCCTCCAGATAGATTTATGAGAAATTAAACTATACTAAGTGTGCATTCTAATAATCTCTGAAATACCTCATCTGAACAAAATTCATGTAGCTACAGCCCTAGGTGAACTTCTAACAGCACACAGGCTTTCAGGCCCGTTATGACCACAAGGTAGACGTACATGATGTAGAAAAGCCAAGTTGGGGCTTTGCAATAAAACCTCTAAAAATGCACACGCTAAGTACAGCACAAATCCATTTCTAAATAATAACTAAAGTTATTTCGAAAGCAGTAGGTATGTATCCCGTTTCATAGCAGAAATAATGGTAAACGCCGGGAAAATGTGACTAACGTCAAAGCGATACTACGTGTTTACTTAGTCCGGAAAAGCTTACTAAGAATTATGTGACTCTTTAAAGCTACATACGAGCACGGCAGCCCACGCCTGGTCACTGCAGGTATCCATAGTGTACGTATGCACAACCAGACGGATCAGTAGGGACAGCTACAAGGAAGGGCAATGCCGCTACACTGCTGCTCTCCGAGACTTCACACGCGCGTCCCTCCGAGCGCTGCCAACACAAACACCCGATTTCAGACATCCCCGCCTCGCCCCGACCCCGTCACACGGCGCGGCCGCGGCCCCTCCCGCCTGCGGGACGCGGCGATGCTGGACCAGGGGCGAGGGAACACATTTCTTCCCTCTCCCCGATGCTCAGGTGCGCCGTCCCGTCCCTCCGCAGCCCTGAGCCCTTTCCTGCTTCCCCAAGAAGGAAGGGGGCACCTTCCCGTTCCTCCAGCACCGCCACACTCCGGGCTTAACGATGCCGACGGCCTCTCCGCCTCAGGGAGCCGGCCGTGCCCGGGGGCGCGGAGACGGCCCCCGCCGCCACCTCCGGCGGTGCCCGGCGGGCCCGGGGCCGCGCCCGGAGGGAGCGGTGCCGCAGAGCCCCCGCGGGCGGCCCCGGGACCCAGGCCTCCTCGGGCGGCCGCTCCCCGCGCGGGGCCGGGAGAGGGCCCGGCGGCGGCGGCGCGCGGGAGCGCCGCCACCAGCGCCATCCTTCCCCCTCCCGCCCCTCCGCTCGGACAAACCTCCGACCGCCGCTTCCTCTCGCGCCCGGCCGTCCCGACCGCGGGCGCCCGCGGGGAAGCGGTGGGGGAGGAAGAGGATGCGGCGGCGGATCCCGTCTCTCTCCCGGGCTGCGGAGGCGGCGGCGGCCCCTGGGCGCGCAGGCGCTGCTGCCGTTGCCGCCGCCCCCCACCTCTTCCTCCCCCTCCCCCTCCTCGCCCGCCCGCCGTTACGGAGCGCCGCGCCCGCCCCGTCTGCGCATGCGAGGCGCGAGGCGCGGGGGGGCGGCCGGGCCCGCCCCCGGGTTCCTGTCCCTTCTGCCGCCCGCGAGCGCCCCCTGCCCGCGCGCCCCGGCAGCGGCGCCCCCCGCGGGACGGGGCGGGGCCCCGCGCCCCCTGCCGGAGCAGCGGCCCCAGAGCCGCGGAATCCAGCGGCTCGGGAGAGACGCCGGCACCTCCGGCGGCGACCGGCAACGGAGCCGGGCACCGAGTGCCGTGCAGTCAGACACCTCCCGGGACGGTGACTCCGCCACCGCCCTGGGCAGCCCGCCCCAAAGTCTAATCGCTCCTTCTGTGAAGAAATTCCTCCTAATGTCCAACTAAACCCCCCCTGGCGAAACTTGATGCCGTTTCCTCTCATCCTGTCTCTGGTAGCCGAGGAGAAGAGCCCGACCCCCGCCCGGCCACACTCCCCGTTCAGGGAGCTGTAGAGAGCCATGCAGTCCGCCCTGAGCCCCCTTTTCTCCTTTTCCAACAACGCCAGCTCCTCACAGGACCTGCGCTCCAGACTTGCTGCAGCCTGGAGGCCCCTGGGCTTCAGGGTTAACACCCAGCTCGGACCTCTCCCCCCGGGAGGCCTTTGGTCCTTCAGCCCTCCTGGAATCCTGGAATGTCCTTCGGCCAAGTGTGGGTTTGCTGCCCTAAAAGCATAGTTCACCTGACATTTGGGAGGACTGGAGCTTACTCTGGGATGGAAGGAATTGACAGGATTACAGGAGGCTGAGGGAGGTATCAGAGAAACGAAAATCTTGAGAACACGCATCTTTTTAAAAGCCATCCAGTGTTATTTATTTTCTTTATTTCTCTTTGGGTCCACCCACCAATAGAAAGCCTGGAAAGTGCCTTCAAAGAGGTGAAAGTATCATGGATGCAGAGCAGAGCTGGGGATTTAAAACACACAAGTAATAGAGCCATGGAATGTTAAAGGTTAGAAGGGACCTTAAAGACCATCAAGCTCCAACCTCCCTGCCACAGGCATGGACACCCTCCTCCCACTATGTCAGGTTGCTCAAAGCCCCATCTAACCTGGCCTTGCCTTGAACACTTCCAGGTATAGGGCATTCAACAACATCCTCAGGCAGCGTGCTCCAGAGCCTCACCACCCTCACAATCGAGAATTTATTTCCTACTAATATCTAGCCTAAATTTCCCATCTCCCTTTGTACCCATTGCTTGCTGTCCTGTCACTACAAGTCATACAAAGTGCAAGAGCTGCTGTCAGTGGAAAGGACAAGCTTTGGCTGGGAAGACCTGCAAGGAATGGATCAGTAACCCTTCCCAAACTTTATTGTTTGTGTTTTGGTACAAAGGACAGATTTAGTCTGAATGTTAAATAAAGAAAAACCACATCAGTTTTGGGAACTTCCCAACACAGGAATACAAAGAATCTCTAAGCATCCATACCACTTTGTTTTTCCCTAACCACTCACCAGCCTGCATAGCACATGCACTGTGCTTTCCTCTCCTTTCACCTGACCCTGTACCAGTAGTCTCTCATTTGGAGATGTGCAATTCCAGAGCAGCAGCTCAGAGTCTCACCTCCTGTAAAAAGGCAGGGTAGAGTCAAAATGCAGCTTCACATTTCAAAACTTCCCATGACACTGTATGGAAATAAGTGCTTCTTCTGTTCATGTGGAAATAACATTACATTTGTCAGCCCCCTCAGCCATGTTAGGATGGAAGAGCATTGCTCCTTTTACTCAGTACTAAACAACTGGTAAACCTTGAAAACAAATGTAAACTTGGCCTTGTGTCTTCTGATTTTTTTCCCCTGAAAGAAGTGTTTTTAACTGCAGTTTGAATCAAAAGATTAGGAACATTTCCCTTATTTTTCTTTTCCTAAAATAAAAAAGTAATTTCCAACATTATAAAAGGGAAATACAAGATTTACTTAGAGATGCAGCTTAAACATCTGCAAGATGAGATAGCCAGCTTTCTGTACAACAGCTGAAGGCTTCTACGACTATTCCTATCCTTGTGTTTTGATTTTCCTCCCACACAAGGATGGAAAAACGCCCCCTGCATCACTGTTAAATGAGCCTCAGGTGGGAGGAGGAGTGGACAAGTAGCAGCTGCCTGCCATAAAGAGGACGTGGTTAGTTTTTTTTTTGCTGGGCTGTAAGTGGTGGCGGCAGCAGCAGCAGCAGCAGCAGCAGCAGCAGCAGCAGCAGCAGCAGCAGCATTGGACATTAGGTTTTGGGGCTATAAGGGGGGAGGAATAGCTTAGTTCTTGTAGGGGGTTTTGTTTGGTG